ACGCGTCAGTGTGACTGGGGAATTTTTCGCGTGGAAGGGCCATCACGTAGGTTCCATTTTAAAATTAGGGTGTGAAGAGCAAGTGGAAAGCCAAGGACTTGCTAGCGAGTACTCCCGGTGGCTATACTTCCGTGCTACTTTCTGACATAACTTCGAGTATCAGTGGGTGATCAAGAATCCGGAAGAACGGAAACCCGGCACACCGTCGACTTTGACAACGGACCATAACGGAACACATCAATATTCAGGAAACAGCATAATCCATCGAGATACTACACAGGTCAGAGAGTTGGTGGTTCCTCAACCGAGTTATTCAGCGCACGAGCTGCATACTATCTGTTACGCTCTATTCGTGACGGACCACCGCTATTTCGTGATATTTGTCTACAGCATTCGATTGTAAAGCAATTGTTTAGCTATTTCATTGAGTATGTTCTACATACTGTCCTAGCATATTCCAAGTAAAACAAAACGAAACCGTTAAGAAACAGTAGAGATCGTGGTGACAGCAGCAAAAAATCACGAATCTACCGTAGCTGCCGACGTCGAGCATTAAATTTGACAGCGCCTTCCATTGCAGCCGCAGTCTGTGAGCAAGTGGTAAGCACTAGCGCTGAGCAACCACCATCCCATACCACAAGGCATCACCAAGGCAAGCTAGTAGCGTCTACCGACCCCGCCGAGTATAAGTCGAGCACTAATAAGTGTCAGGGCAGAGGCCGACAAATACTGTAAGCTGTCACGGTGACATTCGTTGGTGTAATGAAACCACGAGGGATCGTAGATCGTCTAGTTGCCGTAGTGCCGCGCAAGATGCTGATACAGCAAAGGTAGAGATCCGGCCGAAGATAGAGGAATAAGAATACGTCTTGGATTCAAAGTGAACACGACTGAAAGCACCCAAAAGTAATCCAGAGACCCAGGCGCTGGAAAGGACGGAAATAACAGGACGCGAGAGAAGAGATTCGGAACCACAAGCGACAACAGGCGAGACAACCCTTATAAGAGATGCGGCCCTGTCTTCTCTCACATACCGTAAGCGAAGGACGCGGCGAGATCCATCATCGACATCCCCGATACCCAACGTGAACGTTAGTGGGAGGAAGGCTCTGAGCATAATAAAAATTACCGAAAAAATGTGCAACCGGTAGCGCTGATTTTATCCACGGCTAATACTTTCATGTCGACTAACACGTGCGCACGCCGTCGACTGAAGCATTGAACTCGTTGTTGCAATGAGCATGCCAATTGGGGATGAAGACAACGTAGTTTAGGATAGTACATGAACCGGGCTGACCCATGTCTTGAGCAATATCGCGCGAGGCAAAGCAAAGCAAAGCGATGTCGGGGAGTTGGGACGCAAGCGCCGAGACAAGTTACAACGCTTATGAGAGATGCGAGTCATGCCTCGAGATCTCACAAGCGAAGAACTGTACAGTACATGTCAAAAGGAATTCCCACGGGCGAATTGTCAGCCTACAGGTAGTGTAGGGGGCGGAAAGGAATCGGCCCCGTGGCAATTGGCAGAATGGGATCGATCGTGTCTTGCGCTCAAATCTTGCATCTACTCCTCGTCAGTCATTGATTCCGGACCCGCAAGATAGTTTTGGTCATCAGAGTCTGCTGCGAGGGGAGGAATTCATTTTGCGACTCTTGGGAAAGAGCAGCAGGAGTCCATGTTTAGAATGGGTATGCATATGTGCCGGGCTTGCACGAAGTGATTCGAATGTGTGAACTGACAAATTGCATCATTTGACGAACTAGACTCAACCGAGACATGAAAAGTGGTCTTGTCAAAGACAGACATCATGGAGTCCACAGGATGTTTGCCTTTGACAAGACCTACTTTGTGGGAGTTGGGGGTTTCATTGTACAGGTCTCGCGGCAGACTCTTAACTTCAATCCCACTGCAGAATTTCTTCGCCACCAGAACTTCCTGCAACCTCCAGTTCCTCCCAGTCTGTCACCGGATGAGTTGTTAAAGATTGTACATTAAGATCGTGAAGTCAGAAGCAGAAGTTTGGAAAGATCCTGTAAGCATGGCGCTTACTACGTGACAACGTACTCCACGCTGATTGGACACCGCGTACTATTTGTTCCGTGTTTGGACTGATGCACGCCAACTCATTTATATAGCTCGACGCATACATGCTCGTATCTTATCTCTTTCTTACCGTACCATCAATCATACGCTCTTCCACATTACTGTTTGTCTGTCAGTGTGTTTGTCGTCGACGTGACGGCTTTCCAGATCCATGGAGATCATGATGGTCAGTCAGTATGCACCGATGCTGACTTTGTTTCTAACTCTGTTCGGTATATTGCATCCCAACTAGTCAGATCTATGGTGTGAATAATCGGAACAGACGCGCAGGTTTATTTCTAAGGGACTAATCGTTTCTTCTGATGTGCATCACAGCACTAGATACCGTGTATCCATGATGTCGAAGGTCTCCTGAGGTTCATGCAGTCCTGTGAACTATGCGATGTTCCTTTGATAACAAAGTCAATAAGTGAGCATCTCTTTCGAAATTCGAAGGCCTACCGACTTTCTGAGACCTTTAAATGCTGCTTCAAGGTTCAGTAACGCGCCTCGTCCGAGCTCCAGAATGCAAGTACCAAGTGGCTGTACCTTGGTTGACGGTGTTACCAAACTAGACTTCTTATACAATATCATGTATCAGGCGTCTGAGGATGGTCATGGATGTATCGTCCTCCCTGAATGCCCGACGTCCACCCAAACGCGATGCCCAAAGCGGTTGCTGGGCTGAACAAAGAATAATACTCTCTCCCAAGCCTAACCTTGACCGCAACCAGATCGTATGGGCTTTCTTCTGAGGTTGTGATCGATTCAGCAACTTCTCGTTCGAAGGTGTGAGAGCCGCAAACAAGGAAATAATCCCGCAAGGAATACAAGTTTAATTCGATGGGATAAACGGTCAAGTCCACCTCTACGATGGAGCGATCATCGGGGGATGTTTTCACCGTATCTTTATCGAGCGCCTTGATTTCATTGACGCGTTCTTCGCATATCCAGGACTCGATCATCGCAATAACGGGCAAACTTTTGCGGATCTCGCGTACATCTTGATTGCCTTCGGGTTAAATCATCAGATAAGACTTTATGAATGCGCAAAACAAGAATCTGACCGAGAGCTGAACGCAGCATGCGGCAGTGAACACGATGGCCGGATTCCCAAGCATCCTTCTGGCAATCTTTTGAGCAGTAACGTGTCAGCATGCACCCCGAACAACGGTATGCCGTGGCATCGTCTTCGGAGAAATCGATAGGGCACTAATAAATAAAGCATTTCAGTTGGCGAAGAGAGGCGGACCGTTCTCGAACGTACTTTCAGGCTACAACACCGATACCGGTAGAAAGGAGCTCCTTCAGGCAGCTCGTGGAAATTGGTGAAGGTACGAGCCGCGGAGTCGACGGCTTGCCATACCTCCCATAATACGGGGTCTTGGGATGCTCGTTCTTCAAGGTCTACCCGATCTAATCTCTGAAGGGCGGGGTGAAGAACCCGTAGCACTTTTGAGAACACGAAGAACCGGGGAAGCTCTTTGAGCAATTGAATGTCATGGTCATCATCAAAGCGTTTGGCATTGTCAACACGTTCAGCTCGCGATGATCCGGTTCGTAGGAGACATTCGAGTAGACCATGCTGAAGGGCTTGAGATATCACCAAAGCAGAGTCTTTTGCGCAATTCATTGAATAGCCGATATAGCGATATGCGATGTATAACACTCTGCGTCGCGCCGCCAGCCCTATATCTGGTTCATTATCCGAACTATTCCAAGCAGGGGTTAGGAGCCGTTCCCAGAGTGTCGCAACAGCACTTAGGACAGTACGAATTGAGCCGATTTGGAGGAGCAATTCTTGACAACCACCCTCTCTGTCGCCCAATGATTGCATGAAGAGGATGGCTTGAGCCAAGCCAGTAGCACATACTGTCATGGACGAGAAGTCAACATTTTCTCTTGCTCGTAACCGGGGTTCCGGCATATTAGACACCTCTTTAGTCATACGACGAATATATCGGAGGGCTAATGAGGCCATGGGGAGGGTCCCGCCAGCAGCAGAAGCGATGATGGATACTGGTAGAGACGCTGGGGTGTCTTCCATACAGATAACGCTGAGCGAGCACATATTCGCCCGTATCAGTGCACTGAGATTTTTGTCGCCTTCTCGAAGAGGATCAGCGACGTCATCGCTCTTCAACCCGTCGACGATGACCCAAGCTCGGAAGAAAAATGCTTGAACAGTGGGGTTCACCCTCATCAACTGCCTGCCGGTTGTTGTGAATTGACACAAGGTTGACAGTGGATGTATGGTAATCCTAAGGGCTTCGTAAGTGCTAACAGACAGGCCATGTGGGAGGGCGGCAGGTCTCTGCGAAGGTGGAAGGAAGTTGCTGCTGAAGAACTGCATCCACGGGAAGAGCATCTCCCACTTTGAAGCAATAGCGTCATGGACAATGCGTTCTCCGAGACTGATATTGTTACCGAGGTTATGACAAATTTGCACAATGCCACCCATGGACCATTTGGCGAGCATGATTACTGGTACAACATCAGGACTAATTCTGTCCGGAACAGGGTATGCCTCCAGTTGTGCGTGAAAGACGGGAAGCAAAAGTGGCGTGACATCCTTGAGTTGATTGAGACTACCAACAACGTCTCGGAGATCTTCAACTGAGCCACGCAATGCCCCATCAATTTTACGCTATGACAGCGAGAAACAAGAAGTCAGCGTTGTCGTGCCTTCTGGGGGGATTCAAGCACACCTGCATCAACCGAGGCAGAACCCTGAGAGCTTCCCTATCCCGTGCGTTAATTCTGGGTGCCATGATTGAGATCCAAAAAGTAAGACGGTATCGATGGTATCAGCATAGTAACGATCGTACATAAGCATTTCCAGATCTACATTTGTACATAAACCAAACAACTACATAATCCAAGTGATGCTGGGCCCTTGTGGCCCACTGAGTGCCACCATGAATCAACTTCAGTACATTTGATTTTCCACCCCACGGATCCCATCACTCTCCTAAAAACTTTCAGGACCAAGCCAGAGCTAAGTGCGAAAGTTACTTGATATCGAATGCGATCTAGTTGGTGGTCGGTTCGTTCTCCGTATTCTCAACTGTCGAATTTCGTTTCTTCGTCACTCCCATCGTCACATTACTAGTGCATAACTTGAACCGACAGATGGGCTTTCTATGGTGTGGATTTGCCAACGTGAGCTCATATGACACCTCATTGCAATGATCGTATAGTATTGCAGTATGGAAAGCCAGACCACCGTGTTATCCTTTCAAGCCTGCTTCTTGTTGAAGTGTGGTATGCTATCCTATCCCTTCTTTCCAAGGTACCGATTTTATGCTTTCTTGTGAGGAGCACAAGTCTCGTGGACCCTGTTCTGGACTCTGAGCGCGACTCGATGATCTACTTTCTTCAACTCTCTCATGACCACCGACCAACACATTTTATTATTAATACTATGTAGGTCGTCAATTGTCCTACTCTCCTAGAGCGTCTACTTCAGTCAAGCTGATTACCTTTTGCCATAGGCACCATAATTCCCCTGAAAGTTCTGCAAACGTCCGGTGTAAGGACCACACATTCCTGATACCAATATGCACTCTGAGAAACGTGTTAACGTTTATGGCGATTGATTCATGTCGTCTTCTACCGTCGTCAATCTGATTGCTTTGATATGGTACACGTGTGCGAAACTCGTTACAAAACATGATATATCCATACATACAATGCGAATCGGCGATTTGTCCGTTGGAACAGTAACAGTGCAGGAAACAGAAAAAAAGGTAGGTAGCTAATGCGTTGGGTAAGAAGAGAGAGATGATGCCTCTTAATTCAAGGTCGGCTCCTCTGCATCAGGCGCAAAGCGAAGTCGCGCAAGGAGTATGGTATCCCAGATCTTGTGGGTCAGCGATACCTTACTCGTGAAGTTGGTCGACGCGGGGAAGAACTCTTTGCCACCAGATTTGATCGTGAAAGCGCCCCATGGATGATTCGCTCTGCGAGAAGAGAAAACGTTGAAGTATGCCTCCCCTGACGAGATGGGATCGGCCACAAAGAGAGCGTAGTCGCGCGCGTTTACAGTGCCCGTCACTACGAAACAACGTTACTCAGACTAAGCCAGGGAGGTAGACATTGTCCTGCACGTACCAAGAAAGACGTCTTCTTTCTGTATAGGGTGATTCGGTGCGTATTCTTGCAAGATCATGTGTATATTGTCTTTAAACCACTGTGAAACCGCGGGAAGGTTGCCATAGGAAAAGTCCCGGAGGTCGTACGACTCAGCGTATACCGCAGCTGTCTTCCTGCCAGCTTCCAGGGGAAATGCTTGCCTGCGAGATACGTTTTCGCCGCTGCAAATGTTTAGCACAAAAAATACAGCCATAAGCCTAAGCGAGTAAAACGTACTCGTGACGATTGCCACCAAGTTTGAATCTACTCAGCATACTTGAACTGTTGTTGTGAACACGACGTGCCTTCCCGATGTTGATGCTACCGTAATCCCGCAAGGAAGTCATGCATTTTGCCACATCGCCCTCGGCCTTCTTCTTTCCTCCAATCTCAATGACGTTGCAGAGGGTTATGAACTCCCCGTCAGGTTTGGATACATATCCCACAGCACCCACCTCGACAGGTGATGGATACCAAAGAGGCGTTGTGACTAGCAAACAGCGAATATCAGCGCACACGATCGCACTACGAAGGTGAACAGAACTACGACTCACACAAATCTCCATACCCGTGGGTGTCCTTGGCTAAAAGCCTGTAGCGCCTCTCGTTCTGCATGGCCCGTGCCCATGTGGACGTGGTCATCATCTCAAGAAGGAGACTGTCGACGGTGTGCTCGAAGACGGTGCCGACCTCACCGACAACGTTTGGATCTGCGAAACCCGATGTCCCGCTGGACATAGATGACTCTGGAACGTCCGGCGAGTCCAGGTCAGGTTCTGAATGTCCGAACTCAGATCCAAATCCAGATGACGCGCTGTAATAATCGGACATGGATGGAGTATGTGCTAGCCGAGAATGGCCTTCAGAAGTGGGTGTACCAAACACTCGAAGGCCAGGCGAAGGACGGTCTGAAAAGGCAATGACTGGTGAGTTCGCAGGACCATTCGGCGTGCAAGGGGCTGGTAAGCCGTCCGCGCCATAGGGATGTAAGAGATTCCGACAGCCTCGAAGCCAGAACACCGTCATGGAAAATGGAGAACGACAACGAGGGTCACGCGCCCAGCAGCAGGTGATGACTGGGAGAACAATCGTGGAAAGAGGGGTATCGGACACCTCTGGGCGGGCATCGTGTTCTAGAGATACATAAGCAAGTTTGAAAGTTGGACAAGATGCCTTGAACGTACCGAGCACGATTCGCTTGACATCTTCGTCGTCTCTGGTGCCATAAGGAATGCTGCCCATATTGAGGATCTCCACGCAGCAGATGGCAAAAGCATAGATGTCGGCTTGCATTGTCGGACTTGCGACACCGTCCAAGACTTCTGGTGCTTTCCACCTCGGCGTCCCATCTGTGCAACCAGGTGGTCAGAAACAAGGCATTACTTCAAGAGCCAACATACTCGGTCGTTGACGTCCGCTCAACCTGTAGGCATCATCCTTGAGTTCACTCTGACCGAAATCGGCGATGGCACAGTTTCCTTCCGTATTCACGAAAACGTTTGCGCACTGTTCCAATACATGAGCAAGGCGTGAGGACATCGTAGGGCTCACGAACCTTCAAATCGCCATGCACCACCCCTTGCGCGTGCAAGTACTCCATCCCGCCAGCGATCTGAGAGATGAATCGGAACTGGTCCACTTCGCGTGGCGTGGTATAATCATCGCGTGCTGCAGTCAGCAACCATTCCACGAGGCTTCCGCGTTCGTATAGCTCGCTCACGATAAACCATGGCTTAGAACCATGGGCGCTACTTGCGCCGAACATACGAACGACCTGGGGGTGCCTGAATCTGCGCCACAGCTCGACCTCTCGACGAAATGTCGAAGCTGGGATAAAGTCGTGGAGAACCTTGATGGCGACCACTCTATCACGCCATGATCCAGCGTAAACTCTAGAGAATGACCCTTGGCCGATCATCTCGAACCGGTCGACCTCATATCTAAGCAATTGTGTAAGTACAGGAGCATGACATGAAACTGAGAGGGGACCCACCGCGTGATCGTCCATGAAGGAAGTTCCCATGGCAAAAGAGGGTTGTCATTGCCGGCACTTCGCACCTGCATGCAGCGCAGCTTCGACATAGAGATGATGCTAGCATCCAGAAGCTCCATCTCAGCGAGAACACTGTCGCTGGCGGCGGTCGTCCGCGAGAATGCATGGTGCAGGGACTCCAACTGTCGCCGCATGGCCTTCATTATTTCGGCAACTTCGTTTCGTTCAATCTCCAAGCCATTGAGGACGTCAGCATCGCACAACGCAGTACTAATGAAGCCAGGAAGATGTTCGAGCTGGAATTGGTCGTGTCGGAGTTCCTTATCCGGGTTGTCTTCAGGGAAGATAGGGAGCAGCTCGCGACGAATTTCGCCCTCGGCGGTCGTCAGACACTCTGGCATAGATGGGACGGTCTCTGCAAGTGGGTAACATGTGTTGCGCTTCTGGCTCGAGTTACATGCTGCGGACGTCTCTGTGTCCCGGGTTGATGGTGCGTGTGCTAGCGAGTTGCGATCCGCACATAGCGTCACGGTGTTATCCGAAAGAACCGAACCCAGGTCGTCAATTTTCCCGTCAAGATTCGAGACATTCTTGACGATCCTCACAGACACCGTTGCCTGTGCCGCGAGCTGTCGTTTCAGTTGGTGATAATGCGACAAGAAAAATGGCATACAGTGAATCTTAGCCAAGCATCCATCAAAGCCTGATCGCAATTGCAAAGTTCTTTTGCAATTTCAGCTCTCCTAATGAAGCGTTTGAGCATTGGGCGACGGCTGATTCTGCAGAGAAACCCCTCAATCTATGATTTACGCTGGCGTCAATACTAGAGCGGAGGCAGAAAGATATCAAGAACATACTTGGAAGATGACTTCTCTAAAGACGTGGAAGGCAGCGTCGAGTTCCTTGCCAACGATTGGACCGATCCCTTCGATCTGCTCACGGACAAAGTAAAGCATTCCTGCACAGCGTTCGACGATGCGAAGGCAAGAAAGTCGATTCGACTGCAAAACGACGTTTGAAGGGAAAGATGCATGAAATATCAGCAACAATGGGGACGATTAGCCATGGGGTGTAAGCAACTCACCGAAAGTTGCTCGCACGCGTCCCAGATAATCAGGAGGGTCCGCGACGCCTCCAAGAAAAACGGTAGTGGAACTAGAGTAGCCGCATCGTATGTACACTCCAGGATGGTCTTTAAAACGGGAAGCGCTTCATCAATGATTGTCCCAGCTGTCGAGACAACACCTAATAGAGTTAAAATGAACTTCCTTTCTCATTAGCGAAGGGAGGGACCTACAGGACGCTCTAGAATCTTTTTTCACGTGTTCAGAAGTCAACCCGTCTCGTGTCATTACTGAATGGCACGCCAGGATGACATTCTGTGAAGCTCTGTAAGGGAAGGTACAAAATGAGACGGAGACAGGGGGGCTCACCTTCTGTGCCCTTTTGAAACCTTCTACTTCGGCGCCAGTAAAACGAGAGAGTGCCTTCGATTTGTGGCACCTCTCCTTATCGCCACATTTTCCTTGGTCATCATCGCATACCATTGTATGCTGCGAAAATGAATGCCGTCGAAAGGGAGCAAAAATACTCTTGGATCTCGCCATCTCTCTCTCAGCTTCCGCGATTCCGACACCCAATGGCCTGAGTATCAAATCACCAGGTTCTCCATTAGACGTCGCGTCGCTGGGTGGGAGATTTAGGCGCGTGCCGGGCCCGATAGAATTCAGCCTTTCGTCAGGTTTAACTCTGGGCTCATCTTGATATACGAAATCTGCGGGGGTCCACCACTCGTCAGCATTCCATGGAGCTGTCATATTCCACCTGCGCCTTGGCGGGCGTCCTGGAGGTGTGACGTCGCCCTTGACATGAGTAGAAAAATCTACTTCATCGTAGTCGCAATCGGCGAATGAACCACTAGCTTGGAATGAGGATTGAGCACGACGAGATGGTGAGTGAGAAAAGGAGTGCGAGCTCCTATGGTCTGACGTCGAAGGGCTGTGTGCGAAAGAGCTAGACCTCAAGCGAGCATAAGGCACACTACCTATCACAGGGTGGTTGTATGACGACGAACGTCTGTGACTTGAATGGGGAGAATGTGCACCACCATGAGGCGGTGGAGCCTCTAGTATGGGAGAGGCTGCAAGTGACGGCGGCCGATATCCAGATAGCGAAGGTGACGAATATTGGTTAAAGGAACCAGAGAATAAGCGAGGGCGCACATAGGGAGTCGATCCAGCAGAAGAAGTTCCAATGGACATTGTCAATTGTTCAATGCGCTGTCTAGGTGATGTCTGCGGATTGGAAGATCCGATGGAGCGATGAGCAATATCTGAATCAAAGATGAGGTGCGGCGGAATGGCATTGAAATACGACTGGCTGAAAGACGGCCTGCGCTGGTGTGAGGGAATCCCGCCGCCTGGGCTCTGCAGTGGAGCCTGCCGATGACGAGGGGACGAAGGTGGTTTGAGTGGGGAGGAGATGAGCGGTGAAGAAGTAAAATCTAGCGGGGTGCAAGATGGTGACGACATCGGCGCCAGTCTGAGGGCTAAATCTCGCGGAGAGGTTCCCGGAGAGGACATTATGCTAAGATAAAATCAAAAGTTATCAACGCGATTGAACTGATGCAGTAGTATAGCCAGAGGACGTTGGGAAGGGAGAGAACTTTGCTGAAACTGAACGAGTGGGTGGGCAGTTGACTTTATAGTCTTCAGCAATGGAGTTTCA